TTATTTTAATTTCTTAGTTAAATCGTTCGGTTAACTCGTCGGTTTATAAATAAAAAGCGGTATTTAAATGCTGCTCTATCCCTATTTTTATATAAAATCGGCACTAGAACTTACTAGTCTAATTATTATTATAATTATTTATAATAGACCGAGGTATTTTATAAAATTAGAAATAGTAATTAATAAAGCGGTCTATATAGGCCTCTATTTTTATAAATATTATTGGTTCGAAAATAACGGACTTTATAAAGCGGTTAACTATTATTTATAAAAACTAGGTGCCGCTTTTTAACGATAAGGGGAGGTCGGTAATAAAGTCTATCGCTAAGTCGCTTTTTATTTATTTTAGTACTACGAGAGGCTATAAAAGGCCGCGTTTAGTTTATTATTATATAGTACTCTTTTTATAAGTATTATAGTTTTAAATAAACCTTTTTATTATACTAAACTAGCCTAGTTAATAAAACTGTTTAGATAGGATAGTTATAATAGCGTTTTTACCGGGGTAGTTCGTTATTAAAGATTTATAGTAGCGCTAAATTATCTCTATTCGGAGTGCGTTATCGTTATAGTCCGGGTCTTTATATTTAGGGACCTATAGTCTTTTTTATTAAGTTAGTTTTAAAAGTACGTTAATACCGTATTCTATAATTTATAATTTAAGGCCTAATTTAGGGAGGAGCGCCCTAGCTCTATTTAATACTGCTTTATATATTTTAAAATATTGCTTATCTTTTATTTTTATTTCGTTCTATTATTATTAAAGCTCTGCGTCGTTTATAAAAACATCGGTTTTAAATAGCTCGGGTATTTTTATAATTTTAGTTTAGTAAACTGCGCCGGTTATTAGCTAGGTAAAGTTAAGAATCGTTTAAATAATTCTTTCCCTTTTTCTTTCGTCGTCCTAGCTAATTAAAGCGTTTTATTTATACTTAGAGAGCGTATTTAGGGCGGCCGATAAATAGCCTAAGCGGTACTCGATTTTAAAATAATATTATAAAAGTTATTTTATTTAACGATTTTAGTACTCGGTTAACTTTTACTTTTATATAAAATACTTTAACTTTTTATAATTTATAATAATTTTAAATTTATAGGAGTTTCGTAGCTCTACGTTTTATATATTTAAATAGGATATTATAATAAAGAGCTTTTTATTATAAATTAAATAGTTATATTAAGCGGGCGTAAGCTTTTATAAATAAAAAGTAATTAGTCAGTATATACCTAACGGATCCTTTTATATAAAAGAGCCTCTAAACGTAAATCTAAAATAATCGGTCTTAATAATTATCGTTAAATTAAAATTAAAATTTTAAAATAAAAGCGCGGATATAAAACGCTTTTTAAATATTTTAAAAGCGGCGTTTTACTTAGCTATTTATTTAAATAGCGCCCCTTTTTTAATTAGGGCGTTAAAGGGTTTAATAATAGCGGAGTAGTTATATATAAATACGTAATAATAGTTAGTAAAGCTAAAAAAGCTTTTAACCCCTTTTACTATTTTAAATACGAACTATTTATAAATAATATATACTTTTTTTAAGTCGTATACGATCCTTTATCCTATTTTAAAAATAAATTTAATATATTTTATAATTTAGATAGAGAACTCGTTTTTAATTAAGTTAAAATTAAAGCCCGCCGCTACGAGGGCGCGCAATATTTATTATACTTTCTTTTTATAATCCGCTTTTAATCCGTTCAAATATATTAATATATCGTTTATATATATAGAAATAAAGTTATCGAGGAATTTTTTTAAAGTCTAGTTTATATATTTTTAAAATATAGCGGGCGCCCCGGTTAAGCCGAACGGATAAATTATTTATTTAAAAAGGCCGTACTATATTTAAAAAGCGGTCTTTTTTTAATACCCTTTAGCTACTTTAATTTTATAAAAGGCTATTACGACGTTTAGCTTTATAAACTACTTTATTAAACTAACTCTTTAAAAAGTTTTATTAATTAACGATAAAAAGTAGCGGTCCTTTTATATAATTACGTTTAACGCTTTATAATCGTAATAAAAGCATAGGCCGCCCCCTAGTTTTTTAATAAAAAAAACGGGGGCTTTAATAAAGGAGCTACTAGCTTAAATAAAGCCTTTATTAAGTAGGTTTTTAAAGGTATTATATAATATTAATAACTTTTCGCGGGATATAAAATAAAGGGGGCCCTAGGGGAGGGGCGCTTTTTATTTATTAAACTACCGCTTAAAGTTAATTATAAAGTCGATTCCTAGCCGAGCTAGTAAAAAGAGGTATACTTTAAATAGCTTAAAGAGGTTACTATATTCCTCCTTTATCTATTATAGTAGCCAAGAGAAGTAATCGGTCTCGCTCTTTAACTTTAAGGCCTTATTAATATTAATAAAGCTAATTACCTAGATCCCCGTAGCGTACTTACTTAGTTAGCGCTTTTTTTTTATAATAACTTTATAATATAAAGCGGTAAAAGAGAGGGTTCCTAGGCTTCGTACTTTATAAATCTTTTATACTATAGTACCTTTTTTTTATTTATTAAAATACGTTTTTACTTTACCCTTTTTATATTAGATTTACCGTTTAGCTATATTATATACGACGCAGTTCCGTTCTATTTAAGGTTTTTTAAAAAACACGTCTACGTCTAGGCCTTTAATAATATATATATATACTTTTTTTATATAGCTATTAATTTCGAAATCGAAAGCGACGACCCTTTTAGTTATAGTTTAAATAGATTTATTTATAAATCTACGAAGTTTACGCTTCGTTCTATTTATATATAGGAGGTAAAGACGGCGGGCTAGTTAAGAATTTATTATAAAATATATATTATATCTATAGTTTATTAACGTTAAAGTTTTATATATTTTATTAATCCTCGCGGTAAATAATACCGAAGGCCTATTTATAGTCCGTTATTAATTAAATAACTTTTATCCTATCCGTTCTTTATCTATAAGCTCCGGTACCCGATTTTATATTAGAACTATTCTTTTTTTAAATAATATTCGTCGTTATTTAAGTTTATTTCTTTTACGTAGTACTCTATAAACGCCGTTTAAACTATGCGGGCTTTTTATTTTTATTTATAGTTCTTTATAATATATCCGACCTTATTATAATTAAAGTAGCGCCGAGTCTCTAGCTTTATTAATAACTTTATTTTTTACTTAGGCTTTATAGCCTTTATAATTTTAATTATAATTATATCTTTATTATTATCAATACGTTTTTTTGTTATATAATATCCTTTCTATACCGGAATTTAGGGGTTATACTAGTCGAAGTCGTAGCCCTTTATATTACTAGCTACTATTTAAATATTATAAAAGAAGCCGGTATATAACGACTTATTTTAAAGCGTAGCGATTATATATTTTTTTAATTATAAAGCTAAAGCGTAGGTAAAGTATTAAATTATAACGTCCGCGGGCTATTTTTAACTTTTAACGTTAACTAGGGTTTTTTTAAATCGGGATAAAAATATTACGAACTTTTTACCCTTTTTTATAATTATCGTTAATAGTTCGTTAAGGGCGTTTTTAGTTTAATAAAAGTTACTATATATTTACGAAAAGTACGTAAAGAGTTTATTAGACCTTCGTTTTTTATTTTTCTTTTTTTTATAATAGAACTAGTTTATTATTTTCTAAACCCGAGGGGCGAGGTATAAAAAGATAAGGTATTTTTATTTTTTATTAATATAGTAAAATAGCGTATTAATAATAAGTTTATTATATATTTAGGCTTTTTAAATATTATATTTATCTTTATTATTTAAAAACTTTGCTAAGTCCGGTAAGGGCTTTTTATAGGGGGCTCTATTATTAAAAAGCGCTTTTAAACTAGCAGGGGTTTTATAAAAGTCGGGTTCTTTAATAAAAAGCGCAGGGGGTCTATTTATTTATTAAAGCTATTTTTATAATAGTTATAAAATCTTATTAGACTTTTTATATTCGCGCTTTTATTTTACCGTATCCGCTACTCTTTTTATTTTATTTTATTTTTAAGTTTCTATTAGCTCTTATAAACCTTAAATAATCTACTCCTAGGTCTATGTTATAGCTCTTATTAGCTAGGCGCTTAGCGGTACGTCGGTAATTATATTTATTTTTATTATATAGTATAATCGGTAATAAAATAAATAAAAAGAGGAGCTTAGATATATTAAAAGTCTAGCCTACGTAAGTCTACGTTAAAGGGATTTTAATATATAGAATTTAAGTTAAGGAATAGAGGTTTTTAAAATAGAGGTTCTATAGAGGTTCTATAAAGGAAAAGCGTTTAAATAAGACCTCCGCGGAAGCGGCGCGGTAAGCCGTAGCAGTATCCGGGCTAAGGCTCGGATCTACTAATCGGGTCTAGCCCGTAACATAGCCCAACTACGGCACGCTTAAGATATCGCAAGGACTGGCCTTCATGGCTAATACAGCTAGAATTCCAGGCCCATCAACATAACATCTGGGAATACATCGACCCCACGGCACCACTCAACGCCTCGAATCCCACACAGCGGTTCCTCTCTATCCCAAAGATCGATGATCTGATTTCATAGCGACAGGACCAACTCAAAGAGCAGTATTTTCGAAAGTTACAAGCGGCCAGATCAGCAAGGGCGCACGGGTCTCATCAGCAGCCTCTGCCGCCTGCGCCAGCGGTAGTCACACACGACGACGTTCGTGAGGAGTTTATAGCACGTCATGCAGAGTACTATGAAGCTGTTAAAAAGGAGTACCGGACCGTGTGGAACTGGGTCCATGCAACAGTCGACGCGAGCGTGCTGTCCGCCGCGCGGGCGACTGCTGCTGCGGTGGATGATTGTAGCCTGCGAGGTGTCGTGCGGGCCCTGCGAGGCCGACTTGGTCCCGCGAAGGATACGAAAGGAAGCGTGGTATGGCGACTGTTTTTGGGCCGCGATATGGTGAGAGGGGCTTTGAAGAGGGGGAAGGCGCTTGCGAAGGACTCAGTTCACCGGAGTCCACCGAAGACATACACGGTACCGAGTTTCTTGAAGCTTCCGTATGAGATGCTGTTTCACATCATCAGCTATCTTGATCTCCATGATGAGTTCATTCTGCGTTAAACCTGCAAAGACATGCAAATCCTCCTCCAGAAAGACTGGAGGCTGCTGTTCACTCGCCTTGCCGTCAGACAAAGACTAGACTTTTTGGCTGGTTTGGCATTCACCTCACTCAACCACTGGGTCTGCGGAGGCTGCCATCAGCTCCATCGTATCAATACGAACGATATACCTTGGCATCCGCCGTCTATCGACCGCTGCCGAACTGATAAACAAATAATATGTCTTCCACCCTGTTTCGAAATTCGAGAGAGGCATATTCAACTCGGACTCAAGCTTACACGACTCAAAACAGCCGCCAACCAGGAGTACTTGAAGAAGATCATGTCACCGTTTACCTTCGAGTTCGGCCCTTACCCAGGTCCAAAGATCAGGTCTTCTTTTCACGCCACGCCAAAATTTATAGCCGATAGGTTCATACTATATATTCAGCGAGCACTAATTTATAAAAAGGGCCTTGAAACTTGGCAACTCAACTCAGAGAGCACCTGTCGGCACACCGGCGGACCTGAATCCCGGTATGGCCCCCCCACGGAATTCGGCAACACCGTTAGATTGGCAGTCAATCAGCCGGGGATCGAAGTGACTGGCCACTGTTCACGCTGTCCAACAGATTATTCCGTCATGGTTGGTCACGGTCCCGACAAAATCCTGACAAAATTACCATCCATGCTTGGCATGACTACGGTTCATACAAGTCTCCCAGTGACAAGTCTTGGACTGCACCCGTTTATGGTACCAGCAACATGTATTCGCCAGGCCCTAAGGTGTATCGTGACCCTGGCAGCATTCGGAGGCTGTAAACGACGGGCACCACACTTGGCAACGTCAGATAGTTGGATTAGCTGCCTCCAAACAGAGCTCTCTTTACGAAAGGTATGTAGTCTAGATCCTGTTGAGGGCCGCCTTCGACCTTTGCGGCCGACCTCTGCGGTCGAACTTTCCGGCTGGCGCCTCCGTGTGAGGATTAATTGTCTAAGATCCCGAATAACATCGCAGTTTTGGTATCGAAACCACTACATCAAGTCAAATAAGTAATCGGGGAATATTGTACATACCATATAGTTATAAAAAGTATATCGCGTCGTATGATTTGCCTTGGAGGCTAATCCCGTTGAGGTTGATCTTTTGCGCCTATGAAGCCGGACAATCTACCACATATAGTCTAGACCGAAAGGGGTTCACTCAAAGCACTGTCCATGAAAGGGTTGCAGGTTCAGAGTGTATTGGTAGCTTTGTGTGAACTACGGTAGCTTGCAATTCTTCCTTATGTACGAGCCCTTCTCACCATCTTCTCGTTCTAATACTACATGTTGCGACCAACAATTTTTCTTCCCCATTGACTCCATTCCTTCCTTGTTGAACAGCCTTCGGAAAGCCCAGAGCACTCGTCTGTCCGTCCGAATGCAAATCAATACCTGCAGACCAAAGAAGTCCCGTTCCAGAAGTACATCAATGCAGTCCGGAGAAGTCGAGATCATCCAAGCTCTAAAGACGGGGATCAGGATCCTTAGTGGGGAAGGCGCCGGCATGTGCGACGAAATAGTCTTCAAAGAAACCACCAGTGTATCTCACTTGGAATGATTCCTCGCCGTCGTCCTCGTTACTGTCATCGTTGTTATCAGAGGCGTTAGTCGGCTGAGCGGTTCGAGCCGGAGACGGAAAGCTATTTCCAGAAAGAAGGCCATATAGGGAAGGAGTCATTCTGTGCATGGCGTACGAGCTAGAGATGCTGCGATTGATGACTTCGTCGGGTGCTGCAAAGAAGAGAGCCTCATCATCGATCTCTTCCTTGACCTCATCGTCGACCTCTTCCTTGACCTCATCATCGACCTCATCATCGACCTCTTCCTTGATCAGTTCCTCTCTTTCCTCCTCGTCCTCTTTCTCGGTCTTGAGGCCTCTAGGCGACATGTGAAGAGGAGAGACTCGGCAGGAAGCTCGGCGACGCTTTCTAGGCCGCAGGGAGACATCTTCATCCTCTTCATCATGGTCCTCACCCTGTATGTGCTGGTGGGCCTGGGCGCGAGCGCGGTCCTGAACCGGATTGTTCTGTCGAACAAAGCGGTTAACCTCGGAAGGTCCAGCTTGTGCAGCAGCGGCATTGTTGGCAGTTCCAGCTCGGAGATCGTTGTTACCATCCTCCTTTATCTATCATTAGCAGCGGCATCACGCGTTAATATGGCAGGAATGAAAGGCGATGAGGCTTGTTGAGATGATATGAGATGAAATGTCTCACCTTGGTGATGAGATAGATGATTTTGACCTGACTTCCCTCAGGAACCGAGTCGAAGACCATCTTCTGCATCGAAGCAAGCTTGGGATCGCCAAGGCGGCCGGAGACGCCAGCAATGCTGGTGCCGGGGGCAATGTCTTCATTGCCAAAAACGCATTGGGTCTGGGAGGGGCCCTCGGTGAGCCTCTTTGCCATCTTGGCAGTCTCATCAATGAGATTCTCGTTGTCGTCCTTTTGCTGATGGGCGCGAGGGTGAGCGCGAAGCTGAGGCGGATCGATTGGGGTCGCAAATGCCCCGGTGGCATTGCGCTTGCGGATAATTTGGGAGCTCATCTTCGCAATGAGATGACGAACGACGAAGGATGAGCAGGTAAGGATAGCTGAAGAGGCGATCGAGTCGCGATGATGTATGTTCCGGTCGCGCTCGGTCGAGAAGGAAGAAGCTGTCGAGAGATGTATCGCAAGGGACACAATGGATATGAGAGTGGAATTTCAGAAGGAGGAAAGAAGCCTGCATGGGCCCGAGATGAAGAGGGGGAAAAACGCGGTGGTTGTTTGGGAGTTTTGATCAAGGCGGGTGAAGAAGGGAGGTGGAAAGCCTGTGAATGGAAGAAGGCAAATACAGGCGCGGTTTGGAGTGAAGAGGTGAAGTATCCAGCAGACTTTCGCAGTACCTGCCTAGGGGGGAGGAAAAACAACAGACGCGTCTCATTCACGGTGTCGACCAGATAAGTCGTGGTTCAGAGGGCTTCCTTCACCCTTCGAGTTTCTATAAATATGGGGACGATGCCGTGTATGAGTGTGTATCTGAACCACTTTCTGAATAAACTCACATGAGCTGAATACAGATGACTTGATCCGCTGCTCTGACCTGGTACGCTTGCCTTATTCTGCCACCTGGAGGGATCTCTCGTCTCGACCAACTTCCCTTGATAATCCCAGAAATGACCAACAGTACCATATTCCCAAAACTCATCCTCAAATTCCGAGAGTCCTATGACTGTGTCCGAAATGATGGAGTTTGGATCAGGAACGTTGATTCGAGCAAAGAACGAAGTTCTTATACGCAGCGGACCGTGCCTCGATGCTGATCTGCTTTCAAGAACATCAGCCAAACTGAAAGCCAGGAAAATGAGAGAACTCACACACACACCTTGTGTAATTGAGATTCGATTCGAGTTCAAAAAGCACAAGAATAGGTCGATGTTCTCCTCTTAGTTTCACCTCTCTCTGGTAGAAGACAGAGAGAGGTTACTCAGCCCAGCACCCACGGCAAGGTGGGAGAAACGTTCTGCTGGGGCCCACGACCACCCCACCCCCGGTCTATCGATAGCCCGGCCGGGAAAAGGCGTTCATCTAGTCTCCGTCAGCCGTAAATTGGCCCTACGTTGAGCTCGGACAGGAGATCGGCCATCATGTCATGAGGGCAGGCAACCTTCGCAAGAAGTTGGCGGGTCTCCGCACGAAGTTGGTCGACCTCCAGCCCGAGTCGACGTTACGAGAAGATGTAACACTTGCCTTGTAAGATTATAAATGCCACAATGGCCACGAAAAGTGTGAAAGACGACATGGTGTCTGTGAAGTTGAAGAGAAGAAAAGACGGACGTCAGCTCGGGAGGGAGGGAGAGGAGTCTTATGTCTCCTCGGGAGAAGACCAAATACCTCGTTCTTGCATCTTGTTCTCCAAGACAAAGTTGAAGCAGCAGCTTCCCCTCTAAGCTGAATCACCAAAGGCAATCACCGCCGTTGCCATTCCGCTTGGGGGTTGTGAACTGGGAAAACAGGCGTACCTACTAGTTGGAGAGACAAATAGGTACGGGGGGAGGCACCACAAGGCCTATTGCCAAGCGTTCCATACTCTGAGGTGGAAGCTGCGATTTGGGAAGTACGACCCTCTGAACCCAGGAGTGGAAGGAAACCGTAGGCCACGGCCTGCAAGAAGCGTCGGGCTTAAATGCGCTGGGCAAGTGACACTCTCCATCTGAACGACACGGTCATTAAATTAAGATGGCACATATTAAATATCACAAGAGAGGCAACAGATGATTAGAATCAGATCATTTCATTTCCGCTACCAAAAGATTGGGGTATCTCGTGCGATGCAAAACGCTTCAAGGACAGTCCAGACATCCAACATGAATCATCATGTCGTACTCTCGTTGCCAATTTCCTCCCCCGTTGGCCCTCGAGCCACCACGCTTCTTATCCTCTGTCTCTCTCATTTCGTTCCTTGCCATGATGTCATGATGCCACGTCCCAAAACCCAGCGCTCCGATTGAGCGAGAAAGAAAGAGAGACAGCCCAAAAAGAGAAGCGCAACGGCCCAGCCATCACATTATCCGTACCCACACTGCGTTCCAAGTGCATTCCAGTCCAGCTTTCCTTGCTAATTCGCTCCCAAAGAGTGTCCTATCGCTGATGAGATTGAAGAAAGAGAAGATTAATATCGAGCCATTTGCTTTTGTGGTGAAAGTGATGGATGAGAGAAGAGAAAGGGGCGTTCTCGCCACGGCACAGCCAGTCGACAAATACAGGACCACGGGTTTCAAGACCCAATACTATGTGTTACATATTTCGCCAGTGATGGCTTGCGTATAAATGGTAAGGAAATATGGATAGTAAGGGATGATGAAGGGACTACCATACCCACTCATTCAAGGATGAATGGATCAGATGAGCCCCCTCGCAAACGCCGTGCTGTGTTCACCGGCTGCTCTGCTTCGTTTTGTAAAAGGGGGTAAAAGACTCAGCCACTGTGGGGTAGAGTCGATCATGGGCTCGCGCCCTCTTGGATCTTGTGATGCTTCCTCTTCCGTTCCGGATCTCCCATAATAATGCCTTTGTAATAAAGATACGTTGAAATGGGTCATGTGCATTGTGGTAGGAAATGAGGGAAGTAAGGAAACCAGGCTGAAGCAAACAAGGAATGAAGAGACTTTCAAGTCTCAGATACTTGCGGTTCGCGCCCTATCCGGCACACGTGCGTAGCAAACCATGAGCTTGAAGCTTGTTCGTAGCTCCTCGCACTCGGAGAGCAAAGCACGATCAGACCAGATGCTCTTGCTGATGGTCCCCGCTGCGCTCTCATAGCAGCGGCTGTACCACCACCGGCCCACCTTGGCCACCATCTTGGTGATGTTCTCGTCGGCCGAATCGCCGTCCTCGTTCATCATCTCGGCCAGGCTGCGAACTTCCTTAGCCTTCTGGGTGCCAGCGACAGGTGGCTTCTTGCTGCCGCTCTCCGATCGAGTCACCACGCTCGCCACCGGGACGCCGACGCGGCAGTTCTTGACATCGGAAAAGCCCTTGCGCCCGAGGAGGCGCAAAATGAGGTCGGAGGACGAGCCAATGCTGACTTCTGAGTTGTTCACATGAATGCGTTCTTTCAGTCGGCGGACAGTACGCCTCCCTCGATTGCCCATGTTGTTGAGATCAACGTCAAGTATCGATAGCTCCAGGTAGCCACCCGGCTTGAGAACTCGGCGTGCTTCCGAAACAATGTTCCGATAGTGAGACTCGGGCGCGGCTGCAGGGAAGCGGAAGACCACTGAGGTGAAGCTCTCTGCGCCAAAGGGGAACTTGTCCATCTGAGACAGGTACTGAATCTGATGGTGGTTTGGCGGACTCAATGGAAAGCTTGACGAGTTCTTATGCTCCTCTGGCAATGGCGCGCGGGGCGACAAGTTGAAAAATGTGGCAGCAGGGTATGTCTCTGCCGCGTAGAACGACCAGTCATCGTTACCAAGGCCATCGACAACGAGAATGGAGTGACGCTTCAGCGAGCCGACAACGTCCAGAAGCTGGTCCCGGGCTGGGCTGAAGAGCACATGACCAAAAGACAACCACTTACTGACCGTCATCGAACCGACACGCAGGTTGACTTGAGAGAGCGGCGACTCATCCTCGGAAGACTTGCAGCTGCAGTCGGACTGCCTTGATTTGCGAGACGAGCCGCTACTTCTCTGAGACGCGGCCGTTGCCTTACGTGCCAGCTCAGTGCTCTCGCGGTCAATGACCCTAGCAGGGATCTCGCCAACAGGTACAAGGATTTCTCCCTCAGGCTTCAACGCAAAAGCAGCCTTGAGACGTTCGGTCATATCGGCAGAATAGACACTAGACGTTGTAGCACCCGCTTCGACCTCAACGTTCTTCTCCAGAGTCTTTGCCAACGGCGCAATGGTAGGAGACTCGAGAGGCTTCAAAGACCTCTTTGACATTCGCGAGCCATGGGTCTCGAGATGGAACGGAGCGCCCTTTGACGATGTCGCAGATGGCGGTACGTCGCCGATCAAATCGTTGTACTCGTCCCAGATCTCGTCCTCGACAAGAGGAGCATTCGGATCGGGCACGTAAGCCATAGCATCTGCAAGTGTGTACATGCCCAGACTGCTGGAATCGGTGCTTGTGGTGCACTCGGAGTTCTTTCGAGGAGAAAACGCCAGAAACTCTCTACCGATTTGTATCATCTCGGGCGTCTTGATGGGAACAAGAGAAGAACGAGGATCTGAGTTGGTCTTGTCGCTAGTCGCGGTAGATTCTCCACGAGACAGCTCGGGCGTGGAAAGCTCTGGGGTTGGGGTCGCACCCGAAGCAACAAAATCCGGGTTGAAGCTTGCGGCTTGCGGCGGCATCTGCATGCTGCTTCTGTTGAAAGGTCGAGAGAAGCTTCTCGATGAAGTGTGCTCTGGCCGAGAGGTTACAACCTTGGGAATGCGGCCAACTTGAGGTAGGCGACTTGGGCGCGGTTCAGCTGGCTTCGAAACACTAGACTGAGGTGTGTGGGTGGGCTTCATGGACCGAATCGCTGGGATTGAAGTCGACTTTGCGGTCGCCGAGTTTCTCCGAGCCTGCGATGACTTGGTTGGCTGCAAAAGCCTGCTCAAGGATTCTCTCCTGTTGGTCTGGCTTGCAGAAGATGTTCGTCTTTCTTTCAGAACAGGCGGAGGGGATGGAAGATCAAAGACTTCAGCCTCGCGAAGTATCTCCTCAACGTCTGGAGTACCAAAGTCTTCCTGCTCGGAACCATCCATCAGAGTATAAAAGGCGGCTGGCTTGTGCTGTACTACTTTCACGGTTGCAGCTACTGGCACAGCATCCTTCTCTGACTTCTTGGTGTTGGGCTGGCTCTGGGATCGGCTGAAGAGATTCCACTTCCTTGGAGAGCGTGTACGCTTGGTGAGCTTCTTCGGTGGTGTCGCAGTGGCTGCGGCAATGCGGCCCCGAATGACCTCTCTATGCATTTCGAATTGCGAATCATCCGTAAGAATGCTTGTATCATGACTGTTGATCGACGGCGACGTGATCCCAGTGGTGTTGATGGGCTGAGGGAGCTT